AGTATCATTCAGCCTATTACTCTTTTTTCCATTGTTCTTCTTTTTTGAAACCTTTTTACTCATGTCTGTGTTTACACCTCTTTTTCTTCTCACTTTGTTCTTTTGGGCTATGTTATTTTTTGGCCTTTTTTTCAGTGACTAAAGGAATTTTAAGAACTACTATCATTTTGTTTTTGACGCAGTCCGAGGAATTGTTACTTTGTAGCGTGTATGCTACATTTTGCACAGCGGTTGTAGCTTACTGTATTTGCGAGGGTTGTATGGGAATAGTTCATACTGTAGAAATGGGCCGGGATTAAACTTAAACTAAATCCATAAATCACAGGGTGTTAAAACCATAATGCACCATGGTTTGGAGACACATCAAGAAACATTTCTTTCCACAGCGGCTTGGTCTGATTTCTGAATTTTAAACAAACAGGGAAAGTGCTCCAGGGTGGGAGCTCTAAACCAACTACTGTATATTCAGAAACACCCAAAGAACCCAGCACTCACACTTTGAAAATGGGATGACTGCATACAGAAGAGGGGGCTTTATATGTCTTGTCTTGTCTCACATACCAATACAGAAGGGTTCCTCTGTTTGCTCTGAGGTGGAATTAATGAAGCTATTAAAACTGCAACCTCTGGGATTGTGAGAATGTATGGGAAATTTTTATAAAACTTACTTAACTTACATTCTACATCCAATTCTAAAAAAACCCTTACTGATCTTGGAACTTTCCCCAAAACTTCAAAGGCTGATAAAGATTTGAAGTATTTGCATAAGGGCACTAAAAGAGCCAGTTAAGGCAAAGGCAGATGCCGTAAGCCAATTCGTTAAGTCCTTATCTCTACTTCTGACCCCTTCGCTCTTTGTATATAGAAAAGTTTCAACTCTCCCATCCTCCAGACAGATTCTATCGCCTGTGGTTGATGTATCTCTGCCTACAGCAAACTGTTTTTGGTGCTGTCAGTGCTGTGCTCACTTATTAAGTGAATATAATGATTTATTTTTTTTCTTTTACTTTGTCCCACTGGGCCTAACTTATATCGTGTTTCTTCCATGCTGTGTCCTTGCAGACTTGTCTTAATAATTACTCAGTAAAGGAAAGAAAAGCCCATATGTGAGTGGTGTGCTACAATAACCAAGAAGAATGTAATCTTTCTATGGCTTTTTGTGATGTGGGGGCTACATTATATAAATAGGCAAATGGGAACGTAAATGATAATATTCCAGAATCACCTTGAATTACTGAACTGTGGTCGCTCACATTTTATCATATACTGAAAAATACATAATAAACATATTTTAAAAGAGCTCAACGAGTAGAATAGGAATGACCAGTCCAGCCACTAGAGAGCTTCTGGTGTAATTCAAAACCTTTCTCGCTCTTTCAAGCCCTGTCAAATTAAAACAGTCCACTGGACCTCTATTTATGGTGCAGAAAACCCGTTCATCAGAATCGACTCTTCAGTCTGACATCAGGCAGGAAATCATCAGCAATACTCCCTGAGGACATGCCATGCTGACTAGTGGCCAAGGGCATAATTGAGGACACCAGCTCAGAACGTGGTTTGCCTTTGATGCCCTCTGAGCTTGACGGCACTTCTCCAGGTGATGCCCTGCTGCTTAGAGAATTTCTGAGGTAGAGATGTTATGGAAGTGTTATAAGCCAAAGATGAGTGGTGCAGTGATGCTATGTTCACGAGGTGCAAACAAATTGTTTTCAGAGAGCATGTCTTTAAAAAATAGCATCGCAAAGGGATCAGATTTGGATAAGCCGTTAATGGGCCAATACATTTTTATTTTTTCTTCAAAATACACTGGAGTCCAGTGGATTGTTTTAATTTATCGTAGATGCCTCAGATGATGCTACACATCCCTTAAGTATTTTGGTTTATGTAATAAAAACTATATAAAGTTAGGTTAGGTTTACCACCTACCTGCAACAAAGTAATAACATCTTGATTCTTCTTGCAGGTTTCATGGTCTTTCAATCAACATTAACCAGGTAACATACTCTACATCAGAAGTTCCCAACCTTCTTTGTGACGTACCCCCACAAGCCAGTCAGATTAGGTCAAGTTCCCGTTAACTGACTCCAGGCTGTTCCAAATGTGCTATTCTTAAGTGGATAACATATATTAACAATACAGATGTTGAGATTGTTACAATAATGTTTCATCTGTCCAGGGTGTATCCTGCCTCTCGCCCAATGTCAGCTCGATGGGTATATAGGTGGATGGCTAATTTTTTCACAGTAGGCATAGTAATCCTGGAATTGTCTGATGATATTTAAGATTAGTCTTTATTCTTGATTTCAGTGTATTTGGTCAAGATGGCACACACTCTACTGCCACCTGGAGTTACAGAAATTTAACCATTAAGTGAGAAGCTCCGGTCTCAGTGTACATTGCCACAATGGCTAAATGGTGGCAGATCATCTCAGGCAGCTGTGCCGGGGCTGGAATGGTATGCAGCTGGATCTGGTAGACATTGTGGGTAACCTATATTTTTTAATTGGCTGAGCCTACCCTTTAGTAAGAAGCATCTTCAAGGTACATGTATGGTTTGGTTAGGTTTAGGGAAAGATTGTGGTTTGGGTTAAAATACATATTTCAGAAACAGTCATGGTCATACTGACTGACTTTGATTGACTGAGTCATTGTGACATTTTTCTTGGTAGCACAGTCACTTTCTGTGACCACTGAGGGGGGGGGGATTTTTACATGATTTTTACATGATCTGTCTCTGACCTTAATTCTACGATGGCGAGCAAAGATCTAATAGATCAGTACCATGCGAAAGGAAGCTATTCAGTCTAAAATCCCTTTTGGCATACACTTGAACCATTTATTTTATTTATATATTATTTATTTAGCCCACACACGCAGCACTCAACAAGAAAACGGACTTGTGCAAACACATGCCGAGCTGACAGCCCTCTGGAGACGACTGCTAAAGAAAATTGCTGAAGGAGAGTGCGCCGGGCCTCCAGCCTCAAAGTTTATTTACGACTCTATTGGCGTTGAAGTGTGTCAAGGGTCCTTGGGAGCCCTCTCCTGCAAAGGGTCTTGAGCGGATCTTTAATGGAGCTCTCAATGAAACGATGGAGAGAGAGAAAGAGTGGGTGACATTGTCTTCGTCTGAAGACTCACCTCTCTCTAATTGCCTCAAGTCCTATTGATTACCCGAGGCCCCTCACACCTTTTCTGTGTGATCCCTTCACACTGTGTGTAATCCCCTCGCAGAGCTCATAGACCCACCCGTCCGCTGTTTTCTGATGTGATTAGCAGTATTGATCAACGTGCACTCACATATGTGTGTGTTTGTATGTGTGTAGGGGCACCTAGCAGACGTGACCACTCATAATTTGGACACTGAAAAGAAGGAAGTAAACACATGGCTGCATACTGATATTTATTTGGAGGGATCAAAGCGTTTGATAATCAACTGCACACAAAGTCCACATAAAGCTACACACACATCTACTGCCTTTCATACAAGACACACAACTACTCTCGCAACAACAGCAACAGCACACACAGACACAGACACCTACACACACCGATTCCAGCAACAAACCTGAGTTTCCATCAGTCCCCTCCTGCCAGGCCTGGAGGTGTGTTTAAGCAGCAGCTTGATCCCCAGCTCATATTACCAGACAGCCTACTGTCACAACACGCTCTCACCGCCAGTCACTCTCTTCCCCCTCTCTCTCTTTCTATCTGTGTCTCTCTTTCTGTCCCTAAGGGAAATTAAGATGACTCCATTCCCATGCAATTAAATGCTCTGATGCTGTCTGGCCCTCCGCTATTCTGTGTGTGTGTGCAAAAAAGATGAGATGGCAGATCCCGCACAGATATTTGGAGTGGGGGACTGGAGCAGAAAGTGAGAAAAGTGACTACATCTAATCTCCCTCTATCTCTTCATCGATTGGAAGAACCCTGGACCCCGACGATAACGCCTGCCAATTAGACAGACCGCCACAGTTGGCAATCCAGTCGTATCTCAGCTTAAGTCACCTACTGTACCTCTTGGCTCTTGCTTCGGCTTATCAGCTTTTGAAATTCACTGAAGTTCGGCAGTTGCCTGCGGATTAAATAACTGGAACGTGTGTAGGAGTGGTGTATGTTGCCAAGGGGTGTTGTATGTGGAACACCAAAGGAGTACAGAAATACCAGAAGATTGGAAAAAGTGCAATTCAAGATCAGCAACATGTAGCAGCACCACATGCGCTAATCTGTGCGCTGTCACAGAAATAAAAGCGCATTTTAAGCATTTGCTTAAATATTATTTACCATGATTAAAGCCCTGAGATTTAGAATCTATATGTGTTTATAGCATCTTCCAAATTATGTGTGATGACTTTTGTCTCTTTTATGAGACAATTTCAGGGAAAATTGGTGCATTCTATGTGTTGCTTTCAGCCCATTCATTCTCAGTGTCCCTGGGTCGGAGCCATGGGCTGTAGGTGGATATCCTCTGTGTTCCTGTCACAGAGTCTGTGTCCCAGTATGCCTTGTTATTCATTCATTTTGGATGACTGCACCATACAATTTTTGTCGAAAGCAAAGGTTCAGTGCCACTGTAGTAAGTAAGAAAGTAAAAGGGCATGAAAGTGGTGGAGGGGCAGTTTGCATCCTGGCACAATCCAGCACTTAACCGTCATTTTTAATATTTAATTATTTAATCGCAAGTGTTTAAAAGGGCACTCCATCAACTGTACCATTGTACCATCTTGCTGTGCAATATTTCTAATATCAATGGATTTTTTGCCACCATGCTGGAGTGTTTTATCTCATTTTACCCAGCCGTCTGAAGTTTCAGTAGATCACGTTCTCAAATCACACATATTTAACTAGATGTCTTGTAATTCTTAGACAGCCTGCAAGTGTAAATATTAATTTAGGCATCCAGCTAAGCAGTTTAATTTCCTGTTAGCAACACTGCTGTACATTTCCGCCAGCTCAGGGGAAACACAATATTCCACTCTTTAATGGATACGACCTCCTACCTTTTTCTTGTTGTTCGGGCAGATGTAGAAGCTGGTCACCACGATGGTTGTCCCTGGCATCAGGTTGAGCTTGGTGTAGGTGGTGCCATAGTCTGTAGACCTGAATGCAGGCAGACAAAAACAAGAACAGTTAGTCAGGAAACTTTTTAAGAACATTTTTGTGGTCATTTCCCTCCGTAATGGTCTCCTGAATCGCACAATATCAACAGCAAAAGGCATTATGGTAATCATTTGGAGAATAGGAGCTCTAAAAATGATGCTGCACGTACAATATGTGATAGTTCATTAGATTTTATAACTTTCTGGTTCTATTTCACCGAATTCTTTGTATCCTGCATTTTAAAACAACAGCAGCTCCATGAAAAACCTTTGCACTGACAGAAGGAGATTCAATCTGCAAAAAGCCTGGGAAAAGACGACCTGCTTATTCTCTCAAACTGCCCCGAAGGCACTATATCAGCTCTCTGTTCATCATATTACCACTCTGTGGTCCGCGGTCTGAGCTTGGTGACAAATCAGAAAAGGCTGGACAACCTGTCATTGCCGCGACGATGCAAAAACAGCCCCGGGCTAGCAATGAAGTACCGGCCAATCCCCAAATCTGGCAGCTTTAAGAGCAGGTACGGACTGCTGTGTATGTTTGAGATTGATAGCTATTGCTGCTGGAGTGTTTCTCCAGTCCGGCTCAGTCACACCCACCGAGCAGAATGAAGGTGATTGTTTGTGACAGGTTTTGAAAAATGGCGCAGGTTTCAGCTGGGCAAGGCTGAAGAGAGGTGACCGCTTATGGATAATTAATGTCTCACATTCCTGTCAGGTATATACAGAAGAAAGACTAATACAGGAAACTTTCTCCTCAACCTAATAATGCGAGTAAGGGAGGTTAAGGCAGCAAATACTGATCATAAAAGATTATGGATTTAAAAATTCATTCCAGACATGTATTAAGACATACAAATATAATGCTTGGAACAATACTGTGTGCCTGTTTTTTCAGCTAGAAAAGTATCATTTCCACATTAACATTCTTCCTCCTTGAAACTCCAGACACATGCAAAAATGCTGGACACAAGATGTCTGTCCATTCTCCATTCCATTCTCAGTGGATGTGTACTG